GGGGCGGGCCCTCGGCTGGGCGGGGCGGGAAGGGGCGGGCCCTCGGCTGGGCGGGGCGGGAAGGGGCGGGCCCTCGGCTGGGCGGGGCGGAGCGCGGAGCCGCGTGGGAGCGCGGCGGCTGGAGGGGAGGTCGGCCGAGCGCCGGGAGCATCCGGCGGGCAGGGGAAGGAAAGCGACGTGCGCTGGCGGGGGGGCGGGCGGCCGGAGGCGGGGCGGGCGGGCGGCGGGGCGGGAAGGCGCGCGGGGCGGAGCCGTTTCGCGGGTCCCGGAGAGTGGGCTCTGCCCGCCGTTCACCGGGGTGCTTCCCGCCCCAGGCCCCAGCGGAGGACACGTGTCAGCGCGTTCGCGCCGTTGTCATTCCGTTGTCGTAGCCCCTCCCCCAGGCCGGGAACCCTCCCCCACCAGCCCGGGCCCCATTGTCCCTGGGCCCAGCCCCCGCGCGGACCCGCGGTCCTTTGCCGCGGCCCAGCCCCCGGCCGAGGACCCTCGTCGGCGTCCTCTCACCCCTGTCATCTCAGCCCCTGCCCAGCTTCCCCCAGGCTCGGGAACCCCCGGCCCCGACGGCCCATCGTCCCCGGGCCCAGCCCCCGCGCTGAACGCGCGCCCGCCCTCCCCCCGACGGCCGCGTCTGCCCTGGCAGCACGCAGCGACCGGGGATGCATCCCTCGGGCTGGGCGGCCTCCAGGGAGGCGGCGGGCCGCGACGTGCTGGCCGCCGACCTCCGCTGCAGCCTCTTCGCCTCGGCCCTGCAGAGCTACAAGCGCGACTCGGTGCTGCGGCCCTTCCCCGCGTCCTACGCGCGCGGCGGCGGTAAGGACTTCGAAGCTCTGGTGAGTGTGCTCTGCCCTGGCGCTGCCCGCCGCGTCCTAGACCTGGTGCCCTGTGGGACCGCAGGATGAGGCCGTTCCGTCGGCGTTTGCAAACATGGCAGCCCCCGGCTTTCCATTCCCAGCCTGGCCTGGCCTGCCTTACCTTGGGGGTTTCCGTGAGCTAAGAACACTCCTGACACCCCCGTGTCAACGCGCTCTCCTAAGGCACTTGGGGGCTGTTTCTCTCCTGTCAGTGACAAATGACTGAAGTGAGGAATAGCTGCACAGCCCTCCACAGATTTTCTAGCCTGGCCAGCAATACGGTTGATGTGAATCAGCTGTTTTTCTTAGCCAAAAAGTTATCCGTCCTTTTGCAAATAATTACACACCAAAAAGTCACGAAAGCCACCCAGACCTGTGTCTTCAGGTGAGGTGATGTATGGGCAGTACGTTTATAAACTGTAACATCCAGTACGTATGTGAGCTGTTATTTCTCTGATTCACCAGGCCCTTTTTTTTTGCAGTTCACCTCTGGGCCAGTATTCAAGGTATCAGTTATCTTTATAATTCAAATGTTTGGAATTGCCTAGAAAAATATAACTTACCAAAATCGATTCAATAAAAAGCAGAAGATTGAAATACCCAATAGCTGATATTCATTAAAGACACTGAACTCCACGTATCTTTGGGACCTGTCAAGTGTGGCAGTCTCTTCCTAGCCATGGAAGAGCTTATTCTTGTTTACCAGCAAAGCTGTCACCATTTATTTATTTATTTTTATTTATTTTTTTTTTTTTTTGAGAGGGAGTTTCACTCATGTTACCCCGGCTGGAGTGCAATGGCGCGATCTCGGCTCACCGCAACCTCCGCCTCCTGGGTTCAGGCAATTCTCCTGCCTCAGCCTCCTGAGTAGCTGGGATTACAGGCATGCATCACCATGCCCAGCTAATTTTTTGTATTTTTAGTAGAGACGGGGTTTCACCGTGTTGACCAGGATGGTCTCGATCTCTTGACCTTGTGATCCACCCGCCTCGGCCTCCCAAAGTGCTGGGATTACAGGCTTGAGCCACCGCGCCCGGCAGCTGTCACCATTTAACTGGTATCAGATTCTGACTTGCACAAGTAACATTCTATACTGTTAAAAACCTGTTGTGGGGAGGAGGAAGAGATGAGGCCAGCCTGTGGAGCACGCAGGGCTATACGTGTCCGGCTAAGATGTGGAGATTTTTATCCTTCGGCAGGGGAGATCCAGAAAGACACCTGTCGTGGCAGGTTGAGAGAGGGACCTGTTTGGGAAGAGTGTTTGGGGTTAGAGGGATCAAACTCACAATGCAGCTTAAAAAAAAAAAAAATTGAGAAAGCTCCTCCCCAAGGCCAGTGGTTGTTGTCCAGGCTGGTCTTGAACTCCTGGGCGAAAGCTATCCTCCCACGTCAGCCTTCCAAAGTGCTGGGATTACAGGCGTGAGCCACTGCACCTGACCACAGTATAGCTCTAATTTTTACCAAGAAACATACCTCCAAGTGGACTAGAATGCTCAACTTATTTTCTTTCTGCTGGAAGGTCTTGGCAAACCGAATCAGGTTTGTTTTGGTAAATATGGAATACATGCAAAGGGACCTTTGGAATTGTTTTGATCATGCTTTTTAAAATCTTTTTTTTTTTTTTTTTGAGTCTTGGTCTGTCGCCCAGGATGGAGTGCATCGATGTGATCTTGGCTTACTGCAACCTTGGCCTCCTGGGTTCAAGTGATTCTCTTGCCTCAGCCTCCTGAGTAGCTGGGATTACAGGTGTGCACCACCACCCCCAGCTAAGTTTTGTATTTTTAGTAGAGACAGGATTTCTTATTATTTTGGTTAGGCTGGTCTTGAACTCAACCTTGTGATCTGCCTTCCCCAGCCTCTCAAAGTGCTGGGATTACAGGCTTGAGCCACCACGCCCTGCCTTAAAATCTATTTTTTTTTTTTTTTTTTTTTTGAGATGGAGTTTCGCTCTTGTTACCCAGGCTGGAGTGCAATGGCGCGATCTCGGCTCACCGCAACCTCCGCCTCCTGGGTTCAGGCAATTCTCCTGCCTCAGCCTCCTGAGTCGCTGGGATTACAGGCACGCACCACCATGCCCAGCTAATTTTTTGTATTTTTAGTAGAGACGGGGTTTCACCATGTTGACCAGGATGGTCTCGATCTCTTGACCTCGTGATCCACCCGCCTCGGCCTCCCAAAGTGCTGGGATTACAGGCTTGAGCCACCGCGCCCGGCCGTTAAAATCTATTTTTAATTATGCAAGTAATGTTTGAATATATTCTCATTATTAAAAAGTTCAAATGATACCAGTGAAGTAAAAGTGCCCCTAATAGATCTCACTCTATCCCTCACTCCTCTGCAAAGGTATCAATTGCTCTGTTTGGGGCGCATCCTCTCCCCCAACCCCCACTCCACTTGTAATCCCTTGAGAGCATCAGCAACATAAGTTCCCCCAGAAAGCCACCTCCTCTGTGGAGACAGACTGCTCCTCCCATGGGGCTTATTTTATCGGTCCCAGACAGTTACCCTTTCTCTTGAGGGAGGCCGAGGCAGGTGGATTGTTTGAGCCCAGGAGTTTGAAAGCAGCCTGGCCAACATGGTGAAACCCTGTCTTTACTACAAAAAAAATTACCAAAAATTAGCCTGTGTGGTGGTGCATGCCTATAGTCCCAGCTACTCGGGAGGCTGAGGCGGGAGGATCACCGGAGCCAGGAGGTCAAGGCTGTAGTTTGCAGTAATCATGCCACTGCACTCCATTCTGGGTCACCAAGTGAGACCGTGTCTCAAAAAGTCTCATTTGTTTAGCTAAAAGCACTAGGAAGTAATGTGAAAGTTGACCATTTTCTGCCCTTTAAATCTGTCTCCACACTGTGAGGTGTTATTACACATCTATAACACAAGGACACAGTTTCCAAAAATTAGAGCTATGACTTAAATTACTTTATTGATTGGTGATTCCCTGAGAACTGCCCCCTGCTGAACTAAGCTCTTCGCTTTAGATCTGATCTAGCCTTATCTTGCCACTGTCTCCAAAGTCCCAAATGATCTCTGAGGTGTCTTGTTTTGAGATAAAAGCTCTCTGATTTTACACAGGGAGCTCTTGGTGTTTCCAGTGCCTGGCCTGGGAAGTACTTTTTACATATTTAAGAAGTCACGCTGGGTGTGTGCTGAATGCCCAGGCTCGGGGTTTCTCACCTTGCTTTCTGGGACCGGGTTGGATGAGAGAACCTGTAGCATTCTTGAGATTCCCTGTACACCTTGCCCATTGGCCCCCAAGCTTCAGGTTTGTCACTTGACACAGTCACAGCTGTAACGTTTTTTGTTTTTTCCCCTGAAATAACATGTTCTGGTTCTCCATTAGCCTGCAGACCCTTTCTGGGGATGGGAGGTGGGTGGGAATGGCTCCTTTGTGTTCGCTCCAGGCCCTCGATTAGTGGTTGAGGACCAGCAGCATGAGCCTCACCTGGGTGCTCATTAGAAAAACAGGCCCTGTCCCAGACCCATCCAGTCAGGCTCTGCATTTTGACAAATCTGGTCTATTTGTACACAGTGAAGAGTGAAAAGCACTGCATTAAGCTTACCCTGTTCTCGTCTGGAGTGCCAGACCACTCTAACTGGGTCTCCTGGTCCTGGAGGAGTAGGGAGTCTTTCTCTTTTTTTTCCTCCTTCTTTCTGGTTTCTGGCTTGCACTGCCTAGACACCATAACTCCCCAGTATCTGGGTTAAGACAGGTATAAGATCCTCTCTGTCCTGACCACTCCTGATGCCATTCCCGTGTTTGTTGAAGCAAAATACCTCTCATCCTTTAAGATGCACCTTAAAACTTCTGCCTTATTCTTTGCCTTCACTCCTAGCAGTTAGGAGTCCTTCCTTTGGGTTTCTTTACAATTTTTAATATTTGCTTTTATAAATAATACTTTGAGGGCCGGGCGTGGTGGCTCACGCCTGTAATCCAGGCACGTTGGAGGCCAAGGTGGGTGGATCACCTGAGGTCGGGAGTTCAAGACCAGCCTGACCAACATGGTGAAACCCCATCTTTAAAAAAATAAATAAATAAATAAACAAACAATACTTTGATAAACATCCTTCTACATTAATCATTATATCTGTTGTCTTCTTGAGATACATTCTGAGAGGTGAAATTCCTGGATTATGGCTTTTTTTTTTTGAGATGGGGTCTTGCTCTGTTGCCCGGGCTGGGGTGCAGTGGCGTGATGTCTGCTCACGAAGGCAGGAGTCTTGCCATGTTGCCTAGGCTAGTTTACAAACTCTTGGGCCTCAAGCAGGAGTTGTATCACTGAGCCCAGTTTGGAAGGATCATTCTTTACAAGACTCTCAATCTTGGCTGTCATTGAAATCACCTGGGAAACTAAGGAAAAAAAAAAAAAACAACAACCCTGACATCTGAGCCCCATTCTCAGAGATTCCAATTTGGTTGGTTTGAGGTGCAGCCTGGGCATGGAGATTTTTTGGTTTGTCTGCTTGCAGATAATATGTAGCTTTTCTGTTTTTCTATTACCTGATTTGATCATTTTCATGAGCACCCATACCGGCTGGATAGTGAGGAAATGATAACAATTCGATTTGTTAATAAAAGTGCCTGTTAGGTCTGTACTTGGTATCTCAATGTAAGATTCTTGGTCCCTCAGATTAGCTTTTTATTTCTCTCCTGATTTCAAAGATGGCATCTGAAGAGTGGGGAAAAAAAGGACACAGGTCTGAAAAGATACTAATACAGACATAGATACATGTAATACAGACATAGATACATGTAATACAGACAGATAGATGTAATACAGACATAGATACATGTAATACAGACAGATACATGTAAT